CATGCTAGTTTTGAAGCCTCTTTGAACAACACAAAAACTCTTTTCTAGTGGCTCAGTACCTAATCTTTAGTCTGCGGCAGCTTGCGTATACTTAATCGCGTCTATGGAGTCGGAATTCGACCCTGTGCCCGAGACCGCAAAGGTTTCTCCAGCAAAAGGAGCAGGAGCAACAGAAGCAGGGGAACCAGCAACATCCACTTCGCAGTTGGTTGAAATGCGAGCGGTTGGAAACGCCGTAGAGACAGTAACGGACAGTAACGCTTCTGTTCCTGACGAAAAGCTGACAATATTAGCGAAATCTAGTGTCGCCAGTGGATCCCAGGAGTTGGCCTCTCATTCGACTCAAAGGTCACCTTTGAAATTAGATGTCGCAGGTAGTTTGTCGCCGGCGGCTTTTCACCCAACTGAAGGGTCACAGTTGAAATCAGGAGTCGTGGGTGAGTTGGGATCAGGCGAGTCAACGGAATTGGGCCAACTTCCGCCGTCGCACACACCCGAACCTAATCGCGAAACCCTAGCGGTGGCTCGGGAGGCTCCGGACCTGAGGTTCGGGAGCAAGGGTCGGAGGTGCGGGTTGAGGAGGGCGAGCAGTGGGCGTTCTGGTGGCGGTCTTGCTACAGCTGCTACAGCCGATACAGCCGCTACAGTTGTTACAGCTGCTAGTGCTGACGTGGATGGGAGAATATGCACGGAGCATAATAGCGAAGTTGAGGAGGAGAGGAAGGAGAATGAGAAGGAGAGGAAGGAGGAAGAGGAGGAAGGGGAGGAGGAAGAGAAGGAAAGGGAGGAGCTTAATGCGGGAATACGCGGAAAGGAGGAGAAGGAGGAGAAGGAAGAGGAAAAGTTTGAGAAGGGGGAGGAGGAGGACAGGGAAGACGAGAGGAAGGAGGAAAGAAAGGATGGTGCAATGAAGGATACAGAGAATCGTGCAATAAAGGGTACAGTGGTCGATGTTGCAGTTGTGAGTGGGGAGGTTACAGTTGTGAGTGGGGATGTTGCTGCTACAGCATTGGCAGACTTGGCAACAGCTGCAAGGTGCAGAGGCATGGGCGTGAGTGTGGGTGCAAGTGCGACAGTGAGTGTGAGTGGTGGGAGGAATGGAAGGGATGAGGGAGGAGAGAAAGCAGTTAAAGGGACGAAGGAGACAGTGGAGGGGAAAGCAACAAGCGGGGGGGGAGGAGAAGGAGCAGGGGGATAGCAGGTGTAGGGGGAAAGGAAGCAGAGGAGGGGAAAGCAACAAGCGTGGGGGGAGGAGAAGGAGCAGGGGGGAACGCTGCTGAAAGGGGAGACTTGGCGGAGGAGAGAAAGGGAGTGGGGGAGAAGCAGGGGGGAGCAGGCGGAGGGGAGAGACTGGACGAATTAGAAGGAGGGGGAGCAGAAGAGGAGGAAAAGCGGGCATTTGGGGGGGAGGAGGGTGCAGAGAAGGAGAGAGAGGCAGTGGGAACTGGAGAGGGGGAAGCAGGCGGAAAGGAAAGACCAGGAGAATCGGAGAGAGAGGGGGAAGCAGTTAGAAAGGGAGAGGGGGCAGTAAAAGAGGAAGTGCGGGCAGTTGATTGGCAGGAGGGTGCGGAGGAAAGGAAAGAAAGCTATGGGGGGGAAGAAAAAGAAGCAGAGGAAGCAGACGGAGGGGAGAGAGGAGAGGGTGGAGAGGGAGGAGCAGAGGAAGCAGAGGGAGGAGAGGGAGGAGAGGGAACAGAGGGAATGGAACAGGGAGGTGGGGAAGGAGAGGGGGGAGGAGGGGAAGCGGAAGGAGAGGGGGGAGGAGGGGAAGCGGAAGGAGAGGGGGGAGGAGGGGAAGCGGAAGGAGAGGGGGGAGGAGGGGAAGCGGAAGGAGAGGGGGGAGGAGGGGAAGCGGAAGGAGGAGAGGGGCGGGGAGGGGAAGCGGAGGGAGGAGAAGAGGGAACAGGGGAAGCAGAGGGAGGAGCAGAGGAAGGAAGGAGAACAAGGCCGCAAAGGCAGAAGAGGAAGAGGGGGCTAGGGGGAGATGATGATTCGTACGTGTGGGGGTTTGTGGGGCGCGGATGGCGCAGCGCTGCTAGTAAATCCGCGGGGGGAAAGGATGGGGGGAAGGACGGGGGGAAGGATGGACGGAAGGATGGGCGGAAGGATGGGGGGAAGGCAGGGAAGGGAAGGGGTGGAGGTGAGGAGGGAGGGAGAAGGGGGAGGGTGGGTGAGGATGGGGAGGGAAGGAGGGTGGGGAAGAGAATGAGGGGTGGAAGGACGGGGGCAGTGGGTAAAGCTTCTGGTGCCGCTGCTGTTGGCGCCGCTGCTGCTGGTGGTGCTGGTGTTGTGGGTGCTTCTAACGTCATTGGTATCGCTGCTGCTGGTAGTGCCGCTGTTGGCAGTGCTGGTAGTGCTGATAGTGGTAGTTTGCATGGGAGGGCGGGTCATTTGACCCAAGTGTCAGGTTTATTCCGATTCAGCCAAGAGCCACAGCAGCAGCCGCAGCAGCAGCAGCAGCCGCCGCAGCAGCAAGCAGGCAGGGCAATAGGAGGTTTTCGCTTCCCTCTGCTCTCTCTCCCGCTCTCCACCCAACTCCGCCCACTTCCACCCATCTCCACCGCATTCCGACCCCCTCTCCTGTCTTCCCTCTCTCCCGCGCCCCCTCTCAACCTCCCGTCCTCTCTCCTCCCCCCTCGACCTGCAACTCTTCCTTCCGTTCCCCCCTCTGCTCACCAAACCTCTGAACCACCTCATAACCCTTTAATTCCTCTTGTTGCTGCAGCAACACACTCTAATGCGCCTCCTGCCACTTCTCTCCCCCTCGCAACCGCCTGCAATGGGTCTCAGCAGGCAAATGCTGCTGCGCCTGACAGTGACACTCGTGTTACTGCTGCTGCTGGCACTTTTGCTGTCACTGCTGCCATTCTCCCTCCTCGTCTTCCTCCTGTTGTTGCAACCACTGCTGCTGTTGGCAGTTGTGTTGCAGCTCACGCCGCTGCTGTTTCACCTGCCACTGTTGGTTCACCTGAGATTTCACCTGAAACGCTATTGGTTGTGTCTGAAATGAAGACAGCCAGGTTGCTTATGTTGGTGAGCTGCACACGGGATGGGACATGCCCATGTCACATAACGTGGCATATGCCCATGTCGTATGGCATATGCCAAATGTCATTTCAACCCTCATGTTAATCTCTTTTCTTTCCAATTTTAGTTTGTTGTCTATTTATAGCAAACGACTCTCAGCGCCTTATTCCTCTTCCGATCCCGCACCTCCTCTTACCGGCCCACTCACTTCCCCATGCTCTCAGGGTCCCTCTTATGCCACCACTATTGCCCGTGGCCTGCTGTTTCTAGTGCATGCGAGTCACATTTGAGATCTCTCAATTTCGCCCCTCCTCTTACCGGCCTCCTCACTTCCCCATGCTCTCAGGGTTCCACTGATGCCGCCACTATTGCCCACGGCTTGCTGTCTCTGGTGCATGGGAGTCACTTTTGAGAATTCCCAGTGGTGCCCCTACCTTATCCCCTTTGCTTGCTACCCAACGCTCGCTCCCCCATGCTCTCAGGGTCCCTCTGATGCCACCACTGTTGCCCGTGGCCTGCTGTCTCTGCTGCAGTTTGAGGTGAGAGAGAGGGCAGTGTTTTCTGTGGCGGATGTATGTCACTGTTGTCTATAGCACACCTTAGTATGGACGGATGGGACGGATGTGAGACATAGTGGCCCGAGCAAACGAAGGTTTGTATTTTCCGAGGCACCCATGTGATTTTCATCTGGCATTGTGCTTTCTCTCGTGCCGATCGCCCCTTTCCCTCATTCCCTGTGTCCCAATCCCAGGTTCGAGGCCTGCGAATCGTGCACAAGCTCGGGTGAGTTTGTGCAGTGTTGTGCGGTGCTGTGCAGTGCTGTGTGGTGCTGTCCTCTGTGGGGCTGTGGTGTCTTGCTTTTCTCTAGGTGGTACATGGGTCTTGCTGCTTACAGCACCATATCTCTGTGGTGTCTTGCTTTGCTCACGATATGGTGTTGTGCTATGCTGAGATGCTTATTACAATCTGCAACAATTTCTAATGCTCCCCCCATGTTCTGCCTCCACCATTCCGTGCGCCCGCGTGCATACGAGAGTGCAGGATCCATTCGCTGTGACGTCTGCACCACCTCATGCGCCCGCCTACCCCTTCTGTTGATCGAGCCGACTGACATCTCTGTTCCTCTCCTCTTCTACCTTCCCCAGCTCCCCCCTCCCCCAGTCCATGCACCCACCAGCGTATCAAACAGCAGGCTCCATCCGCTGTGACGTCTGCACCACCTCATGCGCTCGCCTACCCCTCACTGTCATCGGTCCATCTGACATCTTACAGTCAGACGTGGTAAGCTTGGGGTGGGTGTGATACTTGATTGTCTCGTGATGAGCTGAGTGTGCCTTGTATGTTTTTTTGAGAATTCTCAAAAAGATAAGGCAGGCTCCATCCGCTGTGCGCGGTGCATCGGCCCATCAGTGCGCGGTTACCCCTCACTGAGGCCCATGACATGTACTGAGGCATCATGCACCGCACTGCACCTTGCACAACACAGCAGGCTCCATCCGCTGTGACGTCTGCACCACCTCATGCGCCCACCTACCCCTCACTGTCATCGGCCCATCAGACATCCTCCAGTCAGTTGTGGTGAGCTGGGGTTGTCTCACTGTCATGTGGGCTCTTTCCGCTGTGACGTCTGCACCACCTCATGCGCCCGCCTTCCCCTCACTGTCATCGGCCCAGCAGATGTTTTACAGGCAGACGTGGTTAGTTGAGATGTGATGTTACATTTGCACCGCTCTGCACCACATCATGTGCCCGCCTGCCCCTCACTGTCATCGGCCCAGCAGATGTTTTACAGACAGACGTGGTGAGTTGAGATGTGATGTTACCCTTCACCGCACTGCACCACTTCATGTGCTCGCCTTCCCCTCACTGTCATTGGCCCAGCAGATATTCTTCAGTCAGACGTGGTGAGCTGGGGGTTTTATGTAATATTCCATCTGCACCGCACTGCACCTTGCACAACACAGCAGGTTCTATCAGCTGTCACGTGTACACCACCTCATGTGCTGCACCTCTGCTCCCCACCTGCTGCACCTCTGCTCCCCACCTGCTGCACCTCTGCTCCCCACCTGCTGCACCTCTGCTCCCCACCTGCTGCACCTCTGCTCCCCACCTGCTGCACCTCTGCTCCCCACCTGCTGCACCTCTGCTCCCCACCTGCTGCACCTCTGCTCCCCACCTGCTGCACCTCTGCTCCCCACCTGCTGCACCTCTGCTCCCCACCTGCTGCACCTCTGCTCCCCACCTGCTGCACCTCTGCTCCCCACCTGCTGCACCTCTGCTCCCCACCTGCTGCACCTCTGCTCCCCACCTGCTGCACCTCTGCTCCCCACCTGCTGCACCTCTGCTCCCCACCTGCTGCACCTCTGCTCCCCACCTGCTGCACCTCTGCTCCCCACCTGCTGCACCTCTGCTCCCCACCTGCTGCACCTCTGCTCCCCACCTGCTGCACCTCTGCTCCCCACCTGCTGCACCTCTGCTCCCCACCTGCTGCACCTCTGCTCCCCACCTGCTGCACCTCTGCTCCCCACCTGCTGCACCTCTGCTCCCCACCTGCTGCACCTCTGCTCCCCACCTGCTGCACCTCTGCTCCCCACCTGCTGCACCTCTGCTCCCCACCTGCTGCACCTCTGCTCCCCACCTGCTGCACCTCTGCTCCCCACCTGCTGCACCTCTGCTCCCCACCTGCTGCACCTCTGCTCCCCACCTGCTGCACCTCTGCTCCCCACCTGCTGCACCTCTGCTCCCCACCTGCTGCACCTCTGCTCCCCACCTGCTGCACCTCTGCTCCCCACCTGCTGCACCTCTGCTCCCCACCTGCTGCACCTCTGCTCCCCACCTGCTGCACCTCTGCTCCCCACCTGCTGCACCTCTGCTCCCCACCTGCTGCACCTCTGCTCCCCACCTGCTGCACCTCTGCTCCCCACCTGCTGCACCTCTGCTCCCCACCTGCTGCACCTCTGCTCCCCACCTGCTGCACCTCTGCTCCCCACCTGCTGCACCTCTGCTCCCCACCTGCTGCACCTCTGCTCCCCACCTGCTGCACCTCTGCTCCCCACCTGCTGCACCTCTGCTCCCCACCTGCTGCACCTCTGCTCCCCACCTGCTGCACCTCTGCTCCCCACCTCCTGCACCTCTGCTCCCCACCTGCTGCACCTCTGCTCCCCACCTGCTGCACCTCTGCTCCCCACCTCCTGCACCTCTGCTCCCCACCTGCTGCACCTCTGCTCCCCACCTGCTGCACCTCTGCTCCCCACCTGCTGCACCTCTGCTCCCCACCTCCTGCTGTCACCCTCCCTGTTCCCTTCCTTTCCTCCTGCCCCACTCTTCTTTCCACCCCATTTCTCCATTCCCCCCCTCAGCCTCTTTTGAAGGCCTTGCGACCGCACCTGCTGCACCTCTGCTCCCCACCTCCCCACTCTCAGTCTCTGTTCCCTTGCTTTCCCCTTTTCTTCCCCGTTTCCCTCTCCCCTCCCTCCCCCCATTCCCCCCCCTCAGCCTCTTGTGACGGCCCTGCGACTGCACCTGCTACACCTCTGCTCCCCACCTCCTGCTGCCACTTCTCCAGCGGCGGTTGTGCCTGTAGCAGACGTGCCTGTAGCATCACCTGTAACAGCAGCTGTGGCATCACCTGTAACAGCAGCTGTGGCACCACCTGTAGCAGCACCTGCACCACCTCCTGCTGCCACTTCTCCAGCAACGGCTGTAGCAGAGGTGCCTGTAGCACCACCTGTAACAGCTGTGGCATCACCTGTAACAGCAGCTATGGCATCACCTGTAGCAGCAGCTGTGGCATCACCTGTAGCAGCAGCTGTGGCATCACCTGTAGCAGCAGCTGTGGCATCACCTGTAGCAGCAGCTGTGGCATCACCTGTAGCAGCAGCTGTGGCATCACCTGTAGCAGCAGCTGTGGCATCACCTGTAGCAGCAGCTGTGGCATCACCTGTAGCAGCAGCTGTGGCATCACCTGTAGCAGCAGCTGTGGCATCACCTGTAGCAGCAGCTGTGGCATCACCTGTAGCAGCAGCTGTGGCATCACCTGTAGCAGCAGCTGTGGCATCACCTGTAGCAGCAGCTGTGGCATCACCTGTAGCAGCAATTGTGGCACCAGCCGTAGCAGCAGTTGTGGCACCAGCTGTAGCAGCAGCTGTTGAGGCGCCTGTAGCAGAGGTCCCTGCAGCAGCACCTGGAACAGGAGCTGTAGCAGAGATTTCCACAGCGTCACCTGAAATACCACTTGTCGCAGCGGCTGTAGAACCACCTGTAGCAGCACTTGTTGCAGAGGAACCTGAAGCAGAGGCGCATGTAGCAGAGGCAGCTGCAGCAGCGGCTGTAGCAAAACCGCCTGTTTCGGAACCCACAGCTTCAGAACTTTCCCCAACAGACAGTCCAATGAAAGGGCATATGAACGGGCAGATAAACGGGCAGATGAACGGGCAGATGAACGGGCAGGTGAAGGGGCGGGTGAACAGGCAGGTGAACGGGCAGATGAACGGGCAGATCAATGGGCAAAGGAGCAGCACCCATAGTAGCAGCAGCAGCAGCAGAATTTGCCACATGAGCAGCATATGTGTGAAAACAATCCCAGATGAACCTTTTCAAGTCCGCCCCTCCTTGCGTTCCGCTGTTCTCCAAAGCACTGCGGAACCCTTGCTTACTTCACGTGGCAGTGAGGGGGAGAGGGGGGATCCACGTGGCAGTGAGGGGGAGAGGGGGGATCCACGTGGCAGTGAGGGGGAGATAGGGGATCCACGTGGCGGGCTGACGCAATGCCAGGTGTCGCTGCCAGCGTGGATGTACCATGTGAGTATTCCATGTGATCATGCTCTGAGCTCGTTCTTGTTATTGTTACTGCAGATGAAGGGAAAGACATACAACACAACTGTTTATAGAGGCACCAAAAAAAATCGCCGCAATACCTGTAGGAGGAGGGCTTTTGAGAATTCTCAGAACCACTCGAAAAGCATACCTGTAGGTGGAGGGAAAGGCACACAATTGTTTATCTGCACGTGACACCTCTGCCACAATGCTTGTCGAGTGGTTCTGAGATTTGACTTTTGAGTCGACTCAAAAGTCAACTCGACTCAAAAGTCAACTCGACTCAAAAGTCAACTCTCAAAGTCAACTCGTGACACCTCTGCCACAATGTTTGTCGGGTGGTTCTGAAAATCCGCAAAAGAACACCCCTTTCGCTCCTTCTCCCCTTCCCTTCCCACCTCTCTACAACAGATAATTCGTCAGCTCGCACTCACACCCACGCTCCCATCCCCCTCTCACCTCCTGCTAAGGCTCGGCATTGTGGGGGTCGATGGGTTCCTTCCTCGTGCTTGCTGCTTCGATAGCAGGAATAGCACAAACCTCCCCCCCCCCCCCCCCCCTTCTTCCCTCCCTCCACAACAGATCATTCGGCAATTGGCATTGACGCCCACACTCCCCTCCCCCTCTCATCGCCTGCTGAGGCTGGGCATCGTGGGGGTGAATGGCTTCCTCCCTTGTGCATGCTGCTTCAATAACAACCCCCCTCCCCGTCCGCCCCCTTCAACAGATCATTCGGCAATTGGCATTGACTCCTACGCTCCCCTCCCCCTCCCATCGCCTGCTGAGGCTCGGCATCGTGGGGATGGATGGGTTCCCCCCTGCTGCATGCTGCTTCGACTCACTCTCTTTCTTTCCCTCCCATCTCTTTACAACAGATCATTCGGCAACTGGCATTGACTCCCCTCCCCTTCGCACCGCCTGCTGAGGCTGGGCATTGTGGGGGTGGATGGGTTCCTCCCCTGGTGCATTCAGCTTCGATAGCAGGGGATGGAATCACTTCACCCCGGCTTAACCTCACGCTCCTTCCCGTCCCTCCCCTTCAACAGATCATTCGGCAATTGGCATTGACGCCCACGCTCCCCTCCCCCTCGCACCGCCTGCTGAGGCTGGGCATTGTGGGGGTTGATGGGTTTCTGGTGCATTCTGCTTTGATAACACCCCCCCTTCCCGTCCCTCCCCTTTAACAGATCATCCGGCAGCTCGCACTCACTCCCACGCTCCCCTCCCCCTCGCACCGCCTGCTGAGGCTCGGCATCGTAGGGGTCGATGGGTTCCTGGTGCATTTGGCTTCGATCGCGGGATTAGACTTCGTATTTTCCCGGCTTAACGTCACTCCCCCCTCCCCTCCCACCCCTCCACAACAGATCATTCGGCAGCTTGCCCTGACACCCACACTCCCCTCCCCCTCCCACCGCCTGTTAAGGCTCGGGATTGTGGGGGTCGATGGGTTCCTGGTGCATTCGGCTTCGATCGCGGGATTAGAAGCTGCTACAGCAGCACCAGCGGCATTAGATGCAGCAGGAATGGCCGATGCTGCTGCAGCAGCTACTGGGTTGGTAGCTACAACAGCACCAGCAGTGGCTGTGGCACAAGTGGCAGATGCTGCTACAGCAGCAATGACTGCACTAATATTGGATGCACCACCAGCTGCAGTAGATGCAGCAGGAATGGCCGATGCTGCTACAGCAACGACTGCACTAATACCAACAGCTGCACCAGCTGTACCAACAGCATCAGCACCAGCAGCAGCAGCAGCAGCAGAAGCAGCAACAGCAACACCACCTGAGGCGCCGCCAGCAACAGCACCAGCAGAAGAAACGGCAGCGGCACCAGCAGTAACACCAGCAGCAGAAGCTGCAGAAACAGCGGCAGCACTAGCAGTAACACCAGCAGAAACACCAGCAGCAGCGCCAACAGTAACACCAGCAGCAGCAGCAGAAACACCCGCAGAAGCACGAGCAGCAGTACCAGCAGAAGCATCAGCGGAAGAACCAGCAGAAACACCAGCAGCATCACTACCAGAAACACCAGTGGTAGCACCAGCAGAAACATCAGCAGCAACACCATCAGAAACACCAGCAGAAGAACCAGCAGCAGCACCAGCAGTAGCACCGGCAGAAACACGAGCAGCACCAGCAGAAGCACCAGCAGCAGCACCAGCAGAAGCACCAGTAGCACCATCAGAAACACCAGCAGCAGCACCAGCAACAGCACCATCAGAAACACCAGCAGCAGCACCAGCAACAGCACCATCAGAAACACCAGCAGCAGCACCAGCAACAGCACCATCAGAAACACCAGCAGCAGCACCAGCAACAGCACCATCAGAAACACCAGCAGCAGCACCAGCAACAGCACCATCAGAAACACCAGCAGCAGCACCAGCAGTAAAGCCAGCAGTAGCACCAGCCGCACCAGCAGAAACACCAGCACCAGCAGCAGCAGAAACGCCACCAGCAGCACAAGAAAAAACACCAGCCTCAGCACCAGCAGCAGAAACACCACAAGCAGCAACAGCAGTACCACCACCTGCAGCAAAAGCAGTGCCACCAGCAATACAGAGCGCGGGTGTGACCTTAGCAGATGCGACCTTCGCAGGTGTGACTGTAGGGAGTGCAGGCACGGAGGAGCTGCAGTGGTGGCTGCGCTCTGTGCCTGCGACTCGCAGCGAGCGACTGGCTTTGGAGCAAATGCGGGGCGGCCATGAGACAATATTTTCTAAGAAGAGGGAGAATGAGGGGGCAGAGGGCGACGTGTTGTTCAGTGGGAAGAAGGAGAAGAAGAGGGCACAACAGGAGGTGATGCTTCAAGAAAGGGAGGGGAAGAGGCAGAGAGAATCGAAGGAGGCTGATGGGAATGGGGATCTGGGATTGCAGGGAGGGGAGACGGCTGGTTGCGAGGAGGTTCAAAAGGGTAACTCCAGGTTACAGGGGGAGGTAAAAGAGGCTTCAGGCCCCAGACAGATGGCACTGTCTCTAGAACCTAGAGAGATGATAGTTTCCCTTGGTATGATGGACCCACACCGGCTGGTTGAGCTGGTAAAGAAGCATGCCCGTGCTGCCATGAGGCCCGTGCCCCTGTGTGTGAGGCGACGAAGGAAGGTTGTGAAGAGAGGAGAGGGAGACGTGGGGGGAGGTTTGTGGCAAGATCAGTAGAATGCAGGTGAACACTTTGAGTGAAAAAGCTTGTTTGGATCAATATGGTTTCGTTGTCCAGCTTCTTGACGATGCTCTTGGTTTTGAGAAATCTCTACTTGCGAGGATTCCCAATGCGGTATTGTTGCGGTAATGTCTGGAACAGTGCTTTGCAAACCCATTCCGCAAGGCCCTTTCAAGCTGGGACGGGGTTCACTATTCTATTTTTCGGTTTCTTAATTTTCCGTATGCTACTTTTTGCCGCTGTCCCATAAACAATTTCCCACGAGGTCCCATTGACTCATCTACTCGGTGGCAAATTGCATGCTTTTCACGTGCTCTCTTGTGCATTCGGTGCACTCCATAAGAAGGGTGATGCGATGCAGAGACAAGGTGGGCTTTGTTACAGGCGCTTTTCGCGACACTCGCTCAGCTTCAGGTGGAAATTTCGGGCCGTTACACACCAGTCCATGTGATCGCGATCAGGTTGTTATTGTAGCGAGGAAAGCACACGTGGCTTTGTTGGAATGGGTCGGGCCTCCTGAAAGGGCAGTGAGAATGCCGAAACCGAGCCGCGAGATCCCCCGTAGGAAGCTCGAAATACCGAGTCTGGTGGTAACCATATGATCCACTTGTCTTGGATGCGCAGCGTTGAGGAAAACGGTCGTGGAGTGCTCCTGGTTGGTTGCGTAAGGTGAAAGTGGACGTCGGTCGCCAGAAAGTAACGATTAGCGAAGAACTGCGACACTCGCAGACGTGACAGGTTGCGCCATTCTTGCTCATCTCGGTTTGGTGGGTCCAGCCTGCTGCCACGTAGGCCCCACCATTGAGGCTGCCAGCCACCATCTCAACCAACCAGCTGTTCCTGTCACCCCGCGTCGCACTCGATTCGTGCCCGAGAGTGGCGCAAGCTGCAAGCCACTTGCGCAGCCTACGCGCAGCGGCCCAACCATGACATAACATTCCCTTCTGGAATGGGGCACCTGACCGGACCTGATGTGAAACGCACGCGAGGCATCTCAGCAGGAAGAGCATATGTGAAACGCATCTTGATCCGTTTTGCGCGGCGAGCACCTCCCGCCACCGCCACTGCTCCTTGCAATTCCCCCGAACCGAACGAGTGCATTCAGTGTGGTTGACACTTGACAGGGGTTGTACAGTACAGCGGCCTTTGATTGCTTCCCTCCCCGAGCTGCGCGCGCCGGTTCGGTTCCCCCCTACCTTGAGACCTGCCCTGGATTTCACCCCCATTCACATTTGCCGTTCTGAAAACACCTTCCATTCCGCAATACCGAGAATATTCCATCAGAACCGAGGGTGATTATTCTGGATGAAATGCAAGAACCAGGATGACATACATACCACCATCGACGAACCACATCCCTGAGGTATTTTTCACCCACCTCAGACAGGGTCTAGGGAGTTGAGTGGAGAATAATCAACGTTATCGACCAATGCTGAAGGATAACCAGCTCCAACCACCACCACCTTACGCCTGTATTCAGAAACCATCTCCCTCGATCTCTTTTCGCGAGCTTGAATCAGGCCTTCTTTCTCCGCAGCGTCGCTTCTCCTTAGGTGACAGACAGAAGCCCACTTGAGTCCGCATTGTTCGCCAAGCATTTTCCTATCTAGCAATCGGGACGGGATACCTTCGATAACTCCGTTGCTGACAAGCAAGCTGCAAGCTTCATCGCCAGGAGGTGTCTTCTGATTCAACTTAGAATATACGCGCTTCAGGCTGGGTTTCCGCCTTGATTTTAGAGGTTCGCATTTCGCCTTGATCCGTTCCGCTTGTTGTATCAAAATGACGAAAAAATAAGCAGAGTAGACTAAGCATTTTCTCAAGTCATCCGCCATTGAAACACGATAAAATGTGTCTCACGGCAATCCCTAATCCCCGTCGTTACCTCTTTCAGGTGCGTCAACAAGGCAACACCCTGCTTCACGGCCATTAGCAGCAGCCTGCTCATCCAACAAACAATTCAAAGGACACCGTCGGATCTTTTCTTCTTCTTCCACGCTGTCGGTTCCGCCTACATGGAGAGAGAGCATACCAGCAGATGGAGTGCGCATTCGTAGTGGAATACCCGCTAAATTGCTTAAAGTCGCGTCGCGCCTATGATCCATCGCCGTGCCTTTAATCGGCAGATCAGCGTTCCCTCCCACATCGTTGTTAAGCTCCTAAAATAGAGCCCGCACCGCGCCGATACGGTCGACGTTGATAAGAGGAACAGACTGAATTAGGTTGCGAACGATTTACACTAAATTAGGTCACCATGGTGAGCGCCGCGGCGCCGTATAGGCGAATCGACGAGAAGGAAGATCCCGAAGCGCAGGTAGACTCAGAAGAGAGCAGTAAGGAGGAAGAACGGCCGTTGAATAGCGCCGGCGGCGGCGGGGGAGGAGGCGGCGTACCAAATTCCCCGAGCTCCCCGTATAAACTCTCCTCCGCCTTACCCATCCCCTCTTTAGGCCTCCCCGCTAGTAGCTCATGGCCGCAACTGTCCCCTGGCGCCACCACCGCTCTGATCGTAATCTCCTGGTACTGTAGCAACATTGGCGTGTTGCTTCTAAACAAGTTTCTTCTATCGAGTTACGGGTTCCGTTACCCGGTGTTTCTGACGCTCTGCCACATGTGCGCGTGTTGCACGATGAGCTACATCGCCATAGACCGCTTCGAGGTTGTCCCGATGCAGTTCATCTCGTCGCCACGTCAGATGCTCAAGATCGCTATGCTGTCAGCGATCTTCTGCTTCTCCGTGGTCTGCGGGAACATGTCGCTAAGATACATCCCCGTCTCGTTCAACCAGGTAAGCCGCGGTTTCAACCACGTAAGCTGCAATTTTGAGGCGCCTCAGTAGCAAGGTAAGCCGCGGTAACCGTTCCATCCAACCGGGTGGCACGTCATCTCCGTCGTCTGCGGTAACATTACGTTAAGATACATCCCCGTCTCTTTCAACCAGGTAAGCCCGCAGTGGGGCGACAGGTGACAGAGGGATGACAGGGTAAAGGGTTTGGTACGGAAGGGATGTGAACAGGTTAGCTGCGGTAACAGGGTAACATATCCCCGCCCCGCTATTTCAGGGTAATAGGGTAAAGAACAGAAACAAAGCGAACGAAATGAATAGATGAATGTATAAATACTGTCTCAAGCTGGGGAAACGCGTCGTACCGGTGCCTGTGCTATTCCAGTATTTTACCAATATTTCCTTTCTTCCTCTCTCCCCTGGCCCCCCTCCCCTCCTGGCTCCATCTCTTCCCCTCTCCCTACTTTCCTTCTCCCCTCTTCCAAAAAACAACACACCTGTCCCAGTAGCATTTGGCCTAGCATAATCATAATCAGCCCTTGATACCGAACCCACCCCCACCGGATTCGAATTACTCACCACCTATCCTTACTCCCTCTCCTGCCACCCCCCACTCATTCCAACCACACACGGCCTATCTCACCCGAACCCTTTCCTTGTCACCCCTATTCCCTTGTCACCTCCTTTTCCTCTATCCCATCCTTTTCCTCTGCCATCCCTTTTTTCCTTGCCTGCCCTTTCCGCCTCCTCTCACTTCCCCCACCCCTCCTCCTCCCCCTCCGCTCCCTTCCCCCACCCCCCCCCCCTCCAACCGAACCCTTCCCCTCCTTCCCTCGCTCCCTCTCCCCCTTTCCAGGCAATTGGCACCACAATCCCAGCCTTCCCAGCATTCGTTGTCATCATCACCTTTCGCACCAATCCAGCCACCACCTATCCCACCCGAATCACAACACTTTCCCTGACTCTCTCCTGTGTTCCTCCTCTCTCCCCCTCCCCCATCTCCAGGCAATTGGAGCCACAACTCCAGCCTTCACGGCTCTATTTGTCGTCATCATCACCTTTCGCACCGAAGCAGCCACCACCTAAGTAGCCTTTGACCTCATGCGATGTTCTCTCCCCTCCTCCCGCCCACCCTCCCCCATCTCCAGGCAATCGGCGCCACAACCCCGGCCTTCACAGCCCTGTTCGTCGTCATCATCACCTTTCGCACCGAAGCAGCCACCACTTACCTCACGCTCGTCCCTGTCGTTCTAGGGATAGTCATAGCCAGCAACTCGGAACCTTCCTTCCACCTTCTCGGCGTGATCATGTGCTTCTCGTCGACCGCTGCTCGCGCGCTCAAATCCGTTGTACAGGGGCTGCTTCTAACGAGTGATAGTGAAAAGCTGCATTCGATGAATCTGCTGCTGTATATGTCGCCGCTCGCGGTGGTGATGCTGCTTCCAGCGAGTCTGTTTATAGAGGGGAATGTGCTGGCGGTGGTGGTGGCAAAGGCGAGGGACTCTCCTTGGATTCTGGTCTACCTGGTGGCGAATGCTGCATTCGCCTACTTCACGAATTTGACGAATTTTCTGGTTACCAAGCACACCAGCGCGCTTACCCTTCAGGTGAGAGGGCAGAGGGCAGTGGGAAGTGGACTGAAAAGAGTAGGGGAACGTTTAAACCTGGTGGTGGATTTGTTGGTTACCAAACACACCAGCGCGCGCACCCTTCAGGTGAGAGGGGGAAACAGAGAGGTTTATGCGGAAGGAGGGAGGGGGTGTGGGGTTGAGGGGGAAGAGGGGGGAAGAGGAGGAAGGGGGGGGAGGGGGGGGGAGGGGATGTTTTGGTTTGTGCGGAAGTGGGGTTCAGGGTTTATGCAAGGGTTGGGTGGGGTTTGCACAAAGGTAGGGGTTCAATTCGGGTTTATAAAACGGGGAGGTGGAATGCATGCGAAGTGGGGTCAGGGTTTCTGCTGAAGTGGGGTTGGTGTTTAAGCGAGAGTGAGGTGGGCTTCGGCGAATGAGAGGGGTGGGAGGAGATGGGTGGGAAGAGAGGGGTGGGGTTCGGGAGAAATAAGGGGGTGGGATTAAGGTGGAAAAGGGGGTTTTGGAGGGGACAAAGATTCTTGAGGTATGGCACTTTGTAACAGTATGTGATAATTTGTGACAGTTTCTGACAGAATGCGGGAGTTTTGTGAGAACACGTAACAGTTTTTGGCAGTATGTGACGGATTATGGCAATATGTTACAATTTATGGAATGGCAGTATGTTATATAACTGAACAATTGGGTTTGGAATGTTGGAGATGGGATGGGCATGAAAACATAGGGACCCTGGGTCCAGGATATTGAGTTTTTTATCGGTCATGGCAACCTGAGAGGGGGGTGGATTCGGCCATGGGAAGACGAGCAGGGGCATTTGGCTATGAGAACCTGTGAGGGGAGGGGAATTCCATTGTAGTTTTGAGGCGTCTCGAAACAAAGGGACCCTGGGTCCAGGATATTGAGGTTTCGATCGGTCATGGGAACCTGGGAGGGGGATTCGGCCATGGGGAGTTGAGTAGGGGCTTCTGGCTGTGGAAAAAAACCTGGGAGGGGAATTTCATTGTAGTTTTGAGATGTATCAAAACACAGTGGGGGCCGTAGTCCCGAGATATTGAGGTTTGGAAGTCCTGTGGTCAGGAGTCGAGGTCAGGAGTCGAGGTCAGGAGTCGAGGACATGAGGTGAGGACATGAGGTGAGGACATGAGGTGAGGACATGAGGTGAGGACATGAGGTGAGGACATGAGGTGAGGTCTGGAGGTGAGGTCTTGAGTCGAGGACATGAGGTGAGGTCATGAGGAACCTGTGAGGGGGATTCGACCATGGGGAGTAACAGGGGGGTTTGGCTACGGGAAATCACGGAAGGGGGATTTGCCATGGGAAACTGGAGAAGGGGATTATCTCCTGGTAGTACCTAAGTATTGGGGAATGCCAAGGGAGTGTTTACAGCACGCACTCATCACGTTTGTCCTTGTGTAACTTGGTTTGGCCCAGTGAATCATTATTGCTACATTCCTTCCCTCCCTCCCCTCTGTCTTCCTTTCTCGTAACGCCCTGCAGGTCTTGGGTAATGCCAAGGGAGTGGTTGCGGCAATCATATCTGTCTTGGTGTTCCGTAACCGGGTAACGGTTATGGGCATGGTGGGATTCGGCATCACCATTTGTGGAGTAATCCTCTATAGTGAAGCGAAGAAGCGGGCCAAACACTGACGCAGGTGAGCTCAGTGCACAGCACATAAGAACATATGATATAATGTGTAGTATACATGGAATGCAAACTTTTAATGTTCGTTTCCTTTGTATGCCCTTTGCTGCTCATGTTGGTTCCCTCATCTAGCTCCGATTGTAGAACGGAGGACAACCACAGAAAAAAAAAACTTACATTTCTTGTCCTCCTATCCTCGCTTTTTCGTCGTTCATTTGGGTTCAGGTTGAAAGCTATGTAAAGGAGGTGGCTTGGCTATCTAGAAGGACCAACTTCAAATGGGGGTGCTCCGCCTAAAGTCTCCAAAGTTCCTAGGTTTGGTTGCTCCAAGTTGTTTGGTACAGGCTCTGTGGCGAGCACGCAAGCTAATGTAGTGTCATGTGTTTACTCTTGCATTGCTTCTTCTGCCAAATTTGATTTTTTCTACTCAAGCATTCTGCTGAATAGGAAGAGATGCAGAAGTTACAATAATTACCTTAGTAATAAGGATAGCACGGTTTTTGCTCTCTGGGTCGCCACGATCTTGGCGCAATTGCGCATGACGGGGGCCTTACTGTAGCCCTTCCCAGCAGCGGAAAGAAAACACTCTATGTACACCCCGAAATGTCACGGTATACTCCGAAAGTCGGACCTGCGATCTTGGGCTCTTCTGACCTCAACAATCCCGTCTAAAAGACGGCATTCCCTGATGCCATAGCATCCGTGATGCCATAGCATTCCGTGATGCCATGCCAACCGACATCAAGGACGTCCATACATCTGCTGTGTCTACCGCCGTCCATTCGTTACTCGTGTTTCCATTGGTGAGCGAACGAATCTAGTCACCAGTTATATGGCTGTGCGTTCGCAAACCCTGCTAGGAGATCAGATTTCTCCGTCTGTCTTGCCGTGGCGTGACGTTCACGAAATAAGTCAGCCTGTCGGAGGAAGTGCACAACTGGATTACCTTGTTGACTGGCAACTTCCGGTCGGTATCACCAGCCCCGTTATGCCGTAGCCTATAATAAGCAGCCTTCTGGCTGCATCATATCCAGCATTCCGTTATGCTCTCAGCTCCTTTCCTAAGTCGTACCAGCCTCCTTAGCGTTGCAAATCGGTCTCTAGTCGCCAAGAATCGTTGAAAGACTTTCTAGTACCGTATTACGCTCGGAAAGTACTTTCATCAGCATCCATGGCGCCCTCTGACGTGTCTCCGCTGCTTACGGGCGTCAAATTGGTGCCTTCCGAAGACTATTATGTCGGAGAGAAGGAGCCTGAGAGCAAAGTTCCGATTGATGTGGCTCATGAGGATGTCAATGATAAGAAGATGACGACAACGAAAGGCGCGGAGGCTTTCTCGGAGAGTGAAGCAGGCTACGATCATGATTTGGAGTCCACGAGGGAGTGGAGCACAGGGATTTGCTCTTGCATTCCAGGTTACAACAGCGAGCACGCTCGCTCGGATTGCGAAATCTGTGAGTGTTGGTGACGACTTTCACAGACTGGCTGTCATTTTCACAGATACCGTGTGCTCGGTGTGACTTATACTCCGACTTATTCCGTTCATTGGTTGTTCGCGGTTTCGCGGCGTGTGTCTCTCTCAGGCTGCCTGGGCTGGTTCGCGCCATGCGTGCTGTACGGTAGCAACATGGTCCGCCTAAGTGGTAACCAGAGCGAGTTCTGCAACAACTGCTGCTGTTATGCGTCCCTGCTTATTCTTGGGGGTGTCTTTCTCCGATGCAATGTGCTTGCGCCAATCAAGTCATGGCCCAGCCGATCCGCCATTCGCACGCGATTCGGCCTGCAGGTTCGTCTGGAGTGAAACAACACACAAGCTTTTCAAACCACATCCGTGTCTGCCATCATTCTGTTGCGCTGAAGTTGTATTACTGTCAAAAGCAGCGTTCTCACCCCGCTGCTGCTCCCCTGTGTGTGTTTTGCCTCGTATCCCCAATCCAGAGCGGAGCTGAAAGTGTGACAAGGGATCCTTCAGGCGGTTGTGATCGGTGCTGTGACTGTTTTCTGCACTTCATCTGTCACCGATGCGCTCTATGCCAGGAGGCAAGAGAGATTAGGAGGCGTCTCCCTCTGTCAGGCCCAGACAGTTCTTCCGGGTCTGCTGTGGTTGTTGCTCCTCCCTCCATGCAAGCCATGAGTCATTGAGGGAAACGTTGTGTTTGTGTACCATCTGTATATTATGAGTATTCGCTTAAATTTGCAATTTAGGGTATACAGTCTCTCTCCTTTGCTGTAACCAAGGGCCACTGCTAAAATCTAGGCATGGTGTGGTAGACGCTGGAATTCTAGTGCCATTCTCTGGAATGTTAGCGTGATGGACACATCAAAAACAAGGTGTGGGTGTTGGGGGGGGGGGGGGGGGGGGGGGGCGTGTGAGGTGATGAAAAACAAGGAATGGCCCTACGCACACTTAAAATGTTGGTTATAGGTTGGAGAAAGAACCTCCTTCACGTAGAATTCTTTTTATACTGCAGAAAATCACTGGGTGAATGATATGACGCATTTTCACATATGGGCATTTTACTATATTATGTTTGTTTGGCAAGTATATCTTCACTGGAGTTTTAGTGTAGATTGCCGTCGAAGAAGGAAAGTCGGTCGGTGGTGGAGTGATGATAGAGGCTTTTGAGCAGTCGGTTTCCCGCTTCGACATTCGCTGGCCTAGCTTCCAAGCACCTGCCCCGGCCAGTATGCCATTATTGTAGCACCATTTGTAACCGTTTTAAAAGATCTATGAGTCGCTTTTAACCCATTTATGTTCTTGAAGAGCATGTTCAAGAAAGAATGAGATCGCGTTCACAGCAAGTTAGCTCAAGCGAAGTAGGCTCAAGAGGCCCAAAAGTGCAGATATTTGGGTCCAGCGTGGCAGTTTTGCCACTGACCACACCCACTCCCCGTGTCCTGCGAAGGTGGATACACACCTAGACGAGTTTGAGTAATCGAATTTTCAAACCCAATGAGGTGCATGTAACCCCGTCGACTTCAAGATCGTTCATGAGAAGCTTTCGTGAACCAACCCCAAACACGTGTTACACAAATATCTGTGCACTGTTGTTGAGCGCGGTTCGCTTTGAGCTAACTTGCTGTGAACGCCATCTGAGGCTCGAGTAACAAAATTCCGCAGACGTCACTCCAGTTCAACGCAGGTTTTCCGCTAGCGCGGGTTTTCCCGTCAACGTATTTCACCTTCCACCGAGCAGGAAAGGAACGTATCGCACACGTTACGGCTAGCGGGACAGTTGCTGTTTCTGCTACCCGAGCCTGCTGCCATACCGCGCAGCAACATACACAGTAACTCCAAACTCCTGATAGGTATATTCGGGAGTAGGAGCTCAGTTTGGGTTCATTAACACTCGCTCAGTTCACTAGTTCCAGCAGTTATTTTTGTGATCCCGACGTCGTGCTGTTGTCACCGTATTCTGTTGCTTTTTTTTTCAAGAGAGAACCTCAGAAATAATTCTAGCGCCGATGACGACGACTGCTGCGTCTCCTCTTCTCGAGGAGGATAGCTGCTACTATGTTGGAGAGAAGGAGCCCGGGAAGAAAGATTCCCTTACTGTGGCTGCAGTTCCGGCGTCTGAGAAACTGCCGATTTTGCCTCAAAATGAAGCGAGTGAGGTTTCGGAGCAAATGAGAGAGTGGAGCACAGGGATCTTCTCCTGCGTTCCAGGCTCGGATGAGCACACGAGCTCCGATTGCGAAATTTGTAAGTCCATCTGCAAGTGATGCTTGAACCAGATCTGGCTCTTTTGGTCAGAATATGTTATGTTTCAACTTATTCAGCCTCAATTACCTTCTTTTTCTCAATTTTATGTGTTCCCTTCTTTCCTCCTCGTACTCATTTTCACTGTGCGCCTCTATTCTGCGTTTTGTGCCCATTTCGACAGGCTGTCTTGGCATGTTCGCACCGTGCGTGCTTTATGGAAGCAACATGACACGCCTTACCGGCGACCATAATGAGTTTTACGACAGCTGCATGCGATACACCGCCTTGTTCGTTCTTGGGAAGTGTTTGCTGCACTGCAACGCGCTCGCTCCAATCTCATCATGGCCCAGTCGATCCGCCATCCGCTCGCAACTCCGTCTCCAGGTTTGTCCTCTTACAAGATCCTCAATGGTTTTTTATTGGTTATTTTTTACCCTAATATCATTATGTCAGCTTCAGAGTAACTGCCTGGGACATATTTCTGCAGCTGCTTCGCTTCCCTCATTCCTTTCCGCCTGGCTGCTGTCTCTTGCTTTTTGCAGAGCGGAGCCGAAGACATTACAAGTGATCCTTCAGAGGGTTGCCATCGCACCTGTGACTGCATGCTGCATTTCTTCTGCCACAGATGCGCCCTTTGCCAGGAAGCGAGGGAGATTCGGAGATGTTACCCCCCCTTGTCAGGCCAGGGGTCTGCGGCTGCTGATAGGGTGGCTGTCGTTGCTCCCAAGGTGCAAGCCATGAACCACTGACAATTGGTTGTGTATAATATTGTAAAGACATGTAAGGATTTACAAATCCTTACTGAGGCGCTCGATAGCGAGGCCATCCCGAGGGCCACGCGACCAACTGGTTCGGCCTACAATTTCGCATCCCAACCTCACCGAGCCGCCTCCGCACCAATCGCGACACTTCGCGAGCCAACTCTACCACACCATCCCCGCCTAGCTAGGTTTTCCCCTATTTAGGCCTCGCTACTTCATTGTTCAGGCATTCGGTAGTTCAACATTCTCGTTATTCGATATCTGCGCACTCTGACAAGTTCATTCATAACACCTGGTATCAGAGCTACTTTCCTAGCCTACCCCGTTTTTTAGAGTGTATTACCCCTCGGGGGGGGGACGAGTAAGGATGCCTTGGGGTCCAGGAGTTGCGTAGGCCGGCCAAGAGAACTCGTTAGTTGCTCTTCGCGGCCATGGTTTTACGGGGCACTCCTTCGGCACCGCCAGATCCTTAGCTCGAACGGTCGCGATCGACCGTGGCCTCCCTCCCCCCGGGCAACGGACAGCTGGAGCTGTCGCGACTCTGAACGTGAGTTACTATTTCCGCTGCGGTTTTAACGACGATTTCGAAACTGTGAGGCAGCTGGCGTCAGCGGATCTGCGTCGGCACCTGCACGAAGATTTCGGAAGTCGTCACGATGTGTGGCAGTTGACGCCGTCGGACCCGAGTCAACAACTGCTGCGACAACTTCGGAGTCCGTCCCATGCGGCAAGTGACAACGGTGGCTCGTCGTCATCATGCGCGCGCGACTCACGGAGTGTGGCTCGGCAGCTGGCGACAAGGAACGTGCGTCACTGTGGCGAAAATTTCGGAGCTTCTGTTGAAGAAAACGTCGGCTGGGGAACTCGCCAGGCGCAAAAGGAGTTTGCGTCCGAAAATGTCGGTGGCGAGGAGAGACGACACAAGACTGCCCGACTTCGCGGGAGTTGTCAAACAATATGTTTAATATATACCCTGCGTGCTGTAGGTACTGTAGTTATTATTATTAAGAGTTGGTGGTGCACCTTCTTTGTTGCTTTGCTATATGTACCTTGTGTGCTATAGTGAAACCCCTCTTTCCTTGCCTAAACTCTCTCGACACTTTCTCCTCTTCACCCTAGCATGGCTCCTCACCTCTAGCTACTATCTTAACATGGTACAGAGCTGGTTCTTTCCCGGAACCTTCTCTTTTTTTTTTTTAAGAATCATGGGCCCGCCCGTACTACAGCGCGAAATGCGTTATTTTCTTTTTTTTTCTCCCCGTTCGCCCATCACGCGCGCCCTGCCCGTCCCCCCGAACGTGCCACGTCGGCTGCCTCGCGGACGCCCCGTCGGCTGCCCCGCGGACGCCCTGCCCGTCGCCCGCTGCCCCCCAGTTCCGTCGCCGCGGCGCCCTGCGTTCCGTCGTCGGGGCGCACCCCTTCCCGTCGTCCGCGAACCCCGTTTCGTCGCCTCGCGGCCCCCCGTTCCGTCGCCAGCGCCCGCGCCAGCCCGGACCGCAGGCGCCGCCGCCAGCGTGGCCCGTCAGCGCGGACGCCAGCGCCGCGGCCAGCCGCCACCGCCACCGCCAGCAGCAGCTACCGCCAGCGCCAGCAGCAGCTACCGCCAGCGCCAGCAGCAGCTACCGCCGCCCTGCCCCATCCCGCCCGCCCTCCCTTCCACTGCTTCCGTCGTGGGGGGGGGGGGAGGAGGGGGAGATGTGGGGGTGGCGGGTGTGAGGTTGTGAGGAGCCAGCACCTCCTCCCTCCCTTCCCTCTTCCTCTCTCCCTGCAGCACTTGTTGCTGTAGGGGGGGGGGGGGGGGGGGGCGGGTGTGAGGAGCCTGCCACTCCTCCCTCCCTTCCCTCTTCCTCTCTCCCTGCAGCAACTGTTGCTGTAGGGGGGGGGGGGAGAGAAGTGCAGAAGGGTGAGGGGGTGGCGGGAGAAGACAGGTGCGGAAGGTGTGAGGTTGACGGGGTTGAGTGACGAGGGGGTGAGGACTAGGGGGTTCTTAACGGGGGGGGATCGCATTGAGCGTGCGCGCTCATGCCCGCCTAGCCCACCTCCTCTCCTCATCGGGACTTGGGGGTTCTTAACGGGGGGGGATCGCTATGAGCTTTCGCGCTCAAGCCCGCCTAGCCCACCTCCTCTCCCTTCCCTCTCTCACCTCCCCTTTGTAAAAGGAGGTTCGTAAGCGGGTCCGCCGGTCCTGGCCCCCCACCTCCTCTCCTCTCCTCTCCTCTCCTCTCCTCTTCTCTCCTCTCCTCTCACCTTCCTCACTTCTCTGCCTTCTTCCACAGCGCTTGGTTTGCTCGTTCAGGGGGTGCTGGCTGCACCAGTTTCTACCGCACGCAGGCTAAGGGGGTGTGTCAAACAATATGTTTAATATATACCCTGCGTGCTGTAGGTACTGTAGTTATTATTATTAAGAGTTGGTGGTGCACCTTCTTTGTTGCTTTGCTATATGTACCTTGTGTGCTATAGTGAAACCCCTCTTTCCTTGCCTAAACTCTCTCGACACTTTCTCCTCTTCACCCTAGCATGGCTCCTCACCTCTAGCTACTATCTTAACAGGAGTTAACTGCCGTCCCGCCCGACCTGTTAAGTGCGGCAGCTTTTACTGCATTGGCGGGCGCGTCATCAACAAATTCGGCAGGAGTGCTCGTGGACAGACGGGACTTCATACCTGCTGACGCTTACGGGCTGCAACGGAAAACGCGATGGCTAAACCGCACTTACGAGGAGTGGGACGCAGGCGACGAGGGAAATCGGGGCAGGTACACCTCGAAAGAACTCGTGCGACGCTGCGTGCCTGGTGTTGTTGCAAGCTGGCCGGCAGTATCGAGAACAGTTTCCCCTGACCAAGGATGTTGTTTTCGGGGACAGCTGCTGACAACCCACGGTTAAACGGTGTCCAAGGTACCGCCCGATAATTTCGGAGGGGTCGGTACTGTCAAAAGAGTAAGCATAAGCAGGAGCCATAGCTAGGAGAACCCTAGCTAGGCAAGAGAAAGTTTAGGCAAAGAGGAGGTTCACTAGCAGCAATGAGGATACATATAGCAAACCCTAGATGGGTTGTACTCGCTATAGAGCACCCCACTACAGGCTAGAGAATAACATTCTGACACACCCCCATAGCCAAAGTGGGGTGTAATCAGTACAATGAGCAAGCAGGTAGAAAGCAGGTTCACAAGTGCAAGCAAAGCTAGAGGCATTCACAAAGGGCAAGTGAGGAGGAGGAGGAACTGTGGAAGGAGAGAAGATGAGAGGCGACGGCTGAAGCTGCAGACACACGGGCAACAGGAGTCAAACTGGCACAGTGGCTACCGGAACAGCGCCCCGGACTACAGGAGTAACTGGCTCCGCGGCTAAGAAGAGCGGCAGACGAGCAACGGACCCACGGGCGACTGGCGCAGCTGGCTACGACTGGGCTACCGGAACAGCGCCCCGGACTACAGGTGCTGCTGACGACAAGACGGCAGCCTCCGCTCAACCTCCCCCGACCGTCCCACGCCCCTCTCACACACCCCCTGCTGACACCCTAGCTCCACTTCCACGGCACCCCCCTTAAACCCTAAACCTCGGCTCCCACACATCCACCCCCCTCAGCGGCAGCTGCAGCAGTGGGAGACGGAGGAGGAGGAGGAGCAGGGGACGGCGCACACACACGGCACCCCCAGAGCTGCCACCCCCACACTCCGCACCCCAAAACCCTAAAAACGGGCGGAACGGGGGAAGGAGCGCGGGGGACGGCGAGGGGGACGGCGCTCGGCCCCCAGAACGCGACCACGGGGCAGAGAGGGGCCGCGCGCGGCTCCCCAGGGCGGCGCGACGGGAAATCGGGGCCGCGGGGGGGTCGCGCGCGGCTCCCCAGGGCGGCACGACGGGAAATCGGGGCCGCGGGGGGTCGCGCGCGGCTCCCCAGGGCGGCACGACGGGAAATCGGGGCCGCGGGGGGTCGCGCGCGGCTCCCCAGGGCGGCACGACGGGAAATCGGGGCCGCGGGGGGTCGCGCGCGGCTCCCCAGGGCGGCACGACGGGAAAACGGGGCCGCGGGGGGTCGCGTGCGGCTCCCCAGGGCGACGGGATCGCGGGGCCGCGGGCGACGGGACCGGAGGGCCGCGGGCGACGGGATCGGGGGGCCGCGGGCGTCCCCCACGGTAGGAAACCGCCGTGCGCCTCGGTGCGCACGGCGGGGAGAAAACCGCCGCACGCCCCGAGCGCGCGGCGGGATGAAAATGTGAAGGTCGCGCGCCACGGGGCGCGCGACACTGAGTAGGGCAGCGGAAGCAGCAGTGGGGCCCACAGGCCAGGAGCGTGAACGCTCTGATACCATGTCAAAAGAGTAAGCATAAGCAGGAGCCATAGCTAGGAGAACCCTAGCTAGGCAAGAGAAAGTTTAGGCAAAGAGGAGGTTCACTAGCAGCAATGAGGATACATATAGCAAACCCTAGATGGGTTGTACTCGCTATAGAGCACCCCACTACAGGCTAGAGAATAACATTCTGACAGGTACAGGCTGCCGGGACACGCGAGAAGAAACGGCCCAACGGCTAAGCGGGGGTTGAAGAACGTTGCGGGGGCAGATTAAAAGCCGGTGGAATCGCTCTGCGGCCCTACTTCGCCCGAACCTCACCATCCCCACCAAGTCCTGGTTCTGACTCATGCAGTCAACCTACTTGGCCGAATAACGGGGGTGAACACGTGGCCTACCCTGCGCTGGTTAAAGGTACCGGGATTGGTGCCCGTTCGACAGCTGTACAGAAAAAATACAAAAAAAAAAAAGTGGAGCTCGCGGCACTGTTCTACTCCGACAAAAGCGGGCTGGGTGAACGGCACGCGAAAAAGTCGGGGAGCTGCGAAGAAGAAATGGTGCAGTCTACAGGTTTCTCCTGACCCGGGCGTCTACACGAATCGACGGCGCGGCGGCGAAGCTGAGACCGGGAAGCTGTGGATTTTATGTAACGTGATAGGCATGGCGGGCTGCAAAACGGTTGGGCGACAGTTTCCTTTTAACTAAGGCTGCCCCGACTCCGATAGTTTTTGCCTCTCCACCGTGGCCGAGTTCGCGTGGGCAACAACGACGATACCCCATCCGACAAAAGCGGACGCTGGGTGAACGGCGGGAAGCGGAATTGTCGGGGGGTGAATACGAAAAAATTGATGACGGAAGGGAAAGTTGTGGGTGATCCAGCAGATCACTTGAGTGATAGGTTGAGCCCGTGCACCAATCTACCGCGAATTTCGGAGTCTATTCGGTAGACCCCCGAAAGGGTTTGATATCGTTACATGGAGGCGCGGCGAGCGGTACATTGCCAAGGATACCTGGGATTCGCTAAGTAGTCCGGCGGGTACGAAGATGGGTGAACATCGGAGTACCAGGGAAAAAACGGCGGAAACGTCGGGGCTATACGGCGGAGAATAACTTCGGGACTGCAGCCTCAACCACGATTTTCGGGGTTATCTTCCTACGAAAAAAAAAGGAGTTGAAGCTGAGGGTGTTTTCTTCGTTTCTTGGAGTGCGGTTGATACCTAGGACCCACGGGTGTTTAAACGTACACCGCGGGAAATTCTTCAGGGAGCGTGGGAGCAGCCGAGGCTTCGGGATTTACCTGCCGGTGACGCGCGATGAGGTGAAACATCGCAAAGCGCCAGTGGGAGTTTGCGTGGTTTTCAGTTAAGCGACATCGACGGGAGCAGTTTCGACGACGGGGTCAACGGCGTTGATGCCTCTAGGTTCCGTGAAATTCGGTCTCGGAAGACCCAGGGCAGTCCCCGGTTCTCGATTTAACCCACATGCTGGGGTCGGGTAACCGAAGGAAACTGATGGTGACCGGGTGGGCGGCTATAGCACGTCTGAGATTTTCGGAGGAGAACTGCACCTAGACCTGTGGATTTACGGGGCTACTTCTCGAGCGACGATTTCGGAGTTTGACGAAGGACTTCACGGTTTTACGGCGAAAGCGCGGCAATTTTGTGGCAGTACTTTCGAAGTTTGGTTACACGCGCGCGAAATTTACGCAGGGCAACGGCGCGGGAACTACACGGACTTTTCAAGGGGTACGAACGACTTACGACGAACTGGAGAAGGCGGCGGCAACAGTGACGGGGGGGGAGAGACAGCTGCAAATTTTCATCCCTGCCCACGAACTCTCGGCGGATTACGACAAAATTCTTGGAGAATCCATCCCAACTCTGCTTCCAACAACTCGCCATCGACCCGCCCACGACAAACATATTTAATTTCAGCCACGTCAGGTGCTGCCAGCTGCAACTGCTGCGGATGCTGCATGATTCTGGCGATGTGAAGACAAAAAGCTTCAGTTCGAGTACTCGGCAATTTCGGTTTCGGTTTCTGGTCTACTTTCGCTGGTTCGCCCTTGACGACTTTTGGGCACGTAATTCCTGGTTTCGACATCGACATTTCCACACCGACGCATTTTCACTTGGGTTCCTTCCATCAACGGCTTCCTTCGTGGGACTTAACACCCGGTTTTGTTTGTTTTCATCTCGGCGCAGCTGCTGGAACTTTTATGGTGTGTTTTCTTGGAGTGGGGGAGAAAGTGCTTCGCACTGTTCTTTCCTTGGCGTTTTCTTGGTCCTTTTCTGACTTTGTCAGGTTGCGACAGCACGACGGACGACCGCGATCACACCGACACGATCTACGGTTCCTGCTCAATTGCGTTTGAATTCGCGTCAGCAGGTTCCCTCCCTTTTCGCATCTGCTTCGACCGTCGGATCTACAGCATATGCATCTACGGCTCACAATCCAACTTTCATTACAATTGAGGTCACTTCATCTTCGACCGTCAGATCGAAATCTGACAACATCAACGGCCGACATTCCAACCTTTTCAACAATATTGTCTGGGGCATTTCAGCCGTCGGATTCAGCTGAAGTGAAGATCAACGGCATCCTCGCTACTGGGTGACCCTTTTCAGTACAGGGCTGCCCCAGGTGGGAGAGTGTAAGGATTTACAAATCCTTACTGAGGCGCTCGATAGCGAGGCCATCCCGAGGGCCACGCGACCAACTGGTTCGGCCTACAATTTCGCATCCCAACCTCACCGAGCCGCCTCCGCACCAATCGCGACACTTCGCGAGCCAACTCTACCACACCATCCCCGCCTAGCTAGGTTTTCCCCTATTTAGGCCTCGCTACTTCATTGTTCAGGCATTCGGTAGTTCAACATTCTCGTTATTCGATATCTGCGCACTCTGACAAGTTCATTCATAACAAGATAGCTATTATTCAATGATAGTGCCATTATACAAGCAGAATTGCTAGTTATACCTTGGGTTTTGTTGATTCCCCTATTTAGAAAGCTAGCTTTCTTGTTGTAGCAATGGCATCGTCTCATTTCAAATGGTATATTACAAGCAACTCCAAGCTATCATATGATAATTCTCGTAGCACAATTAACAATTATAACCTATTCTAGGGGGTGGGTGGGCGGGAAACTTGACTAAACCGTTTGAAAAAGAGAGACGTGGGTGGAGGGAAATGACCTCCAGCCCACGTTTTGTACTCCAAAACGGGCGTTTAGCGCGGTTCGCCGATGACCATTGCTACGTTACAAGCCGCTTCGCTTTCAAAATACACAATTTTGAAAAGCGTTACAGCTTTTAAAAATATTCATTTTTTCTGGCGCCGCAAGTGTCCTGCAAATTCTTTATTTGGTCCCTTTGATTCCATGCACTTCTCGAATCTGGATCTCAACCATCTAGGCCGTGGTGATGTTTCTGAAGTCTGTACTGTACCTGTATGCTTTTTCTGCTGTCGCCGGTTCGGGCTACGGCAACGGAGCATCTCGCCCTCGCAAGCGCTATTGGGGAAAGAGGCAAAAAGCAACCACGACGGGAGTCGAACCCGCGACCTTTCGATCCGAAGTCGAACGCGCTAATCCACTGCGCTACGCGGTTATGGCTTTGAGCGAGCCTTGTTATTTTTATTAACTATCTAGAAGAGACGTCGCTCTTGATTTTTCTGTTCTGCTGACTTGTCCATATACCGCGTTCACCAGCACAGAAGAATCTAGGTCCCAACCGAACTCCAGTGTTTGACCAGAAAGTCAAACACTGGAGTACCAGATCTGCAAGTCTGTAAACTTCTAGAACTTCTAGTGGCTTGTACTTTTTTCTGGAGTGCTAGAATCCGTGCAAGCTTCACTTTCTCGTATCCCTTTTTGTGATTGTAGATCATTCGCGAACCCCATGGATAAACTCACGAGGCGTTTCTCACGGCGCTCTGCGTCCTCGTTTGTTAGCATTTATCCGTTGTACTCCAACATGAATTTACGACTTTCAAACGCTTTCTATCCCGTCCTATATCTCAGCCTTTGTCGCAAGACATTCTTCAGCTTCCTGATTGATCCAGGCTGAAACAATTTTAGGCCTAAACAATTTCTTGAGACTCGTTCATTCCTTGGCAGTACCAGCAGTATCAGCACAGAGTCACCGCATTTCAAGCGTCAAGCATACCACAACATCCCCGCGCAACTTTCAAATTTCCTGTCAAATCCAGACGATTTTCTCGAAGAAATCTGGTTACACGGTTCAGCGTGGTTGGGAACTGTCCGAGACGAACGAACGCGCTTCGATGGGTCGCGGTGGAGGCGAGCAGACGTCATCATCGCAGCATCACTCCACGACAGGAGCTACCGTCGTTCCTCCTCCTCCTCCGTTCCTGACTCGACTGAAAGGTCACCTGGCAGGCGAGAAATCACCTCCTCCGTCATCTGAAAGTAACCCCAAGACAGGACCCGCCGCCAGTTCCCCTCCTCCTCCGCCTCCTCCGTCTCCTCGCTTTCCATCCTTCCGTCCGTCGCAGTTTACTTTTCCGACGAAGCTTCCTGAGCGTCCGCCTGCCATGATGCCTGGAAGTTTCCCGTTCCCCGCTGCTCCCGGCGGTTGGTTCATGCCTCCCGGCTCTCCCATGGCCGCGTATCCCGGCGTTTACGCCACTGCGTTTCCAAGCAGCAAGGCCAATGCTGCTGCTGACACGGACAAGTCGAATGCAGATCCAACCAAGACCACTCCTGCTTCTGTTTCTCCTGCTGCTCCGGTCGCTGCTTCTGCTGCCGCTCCGTCTGCTGCCGCTGCGTCTGCTGCCGCTGCTTCCGCTGATGCTGGCGTGGTTCACACTACTGCATCAGTCACTCCCTCCGGAGTACCATCCGTCTCTCGCCCGGCTCACTTTCTCCCTCCTCACCTTCCCCAGTGGGGTCCCTTCGCCCCACCCTACATGTCCCCCTACGCTCCGTACGCACCCTGGTTCCATCCGGCCGTGATGACGTCAGCGGTGCCGGGAAACCCCCCGGAGGTGACGCAAGCAGGAGGGTTCGGCGGGCAGGCGGCGCGAGCGGCCAGGCTGGAGCTGGTGGAGGTGGGATCTCCGAAAAAGGCAGCTTCGGGCGAAGCTTCCGGGAACGAAGAGGAGGAGGAGGTGGAGGGGCGAGTGGCAGAGGTTTCTGGGACGAAGGGGGACACAAAGGATTATCCTTTGGGCCTTCAGAAGGGGGAAAATGATTCGGCTCTGGAGCGCCATGGTTCGGACGAGGAAGGAACAGGGGTTGTCGAGGCAGCAGCAGTGGGTGGTGGTGCGATGTCTGGAGAGAGCCGAACGGAGATGGTTGGTGTTACAGCGGCAAACGGAGGTGGTAACATCAATTCAGCTGCCTCTTATCCGTTCATGCTCCCGTATCCTCCTTATGCGGATCCCAGGACCCTCCCTGGTTTCCTGAATGGTGGTGGCGGGAATCCTCAAGGCGCGTTGGGAAATGTTGCAGCTGGTTCGGCTGGTGACGATGCTTATGCACCGCCTTTCTGGTTCGGACAGGAGCCTTGGTTCGGGCAGGCGCCTTGGCTAGACCAGTCTCCTTGGGCGAGCCAGTCGCCTTGGCTCACTGCGTATACAGATAAGCTCCCTGCGCTTGGCTATGGGCCTGGTTATCCCCGTTATTGGCTTCCTCAGTTCTATCCTGCGCATCCCGAGGCTCCAGGTCAATTCTTCTCGCCTCGTCCTGCAGCAGCATCCAGTGATTCCCCGAGCCTGTCTTGGAGCCTCGGCCCGAACCTGGGCGCGTATCCAGGTGCGTGGGGTGCCGAGCCTGGGTCCAGCGCATATGCAGCATTGCCTGCTCCAACGGAAGTCGCTGCAGAGCTCTCCCTGCTTTCGGGTAGTGCTTCTCCTTCAGGGTCTGTAGCAGCTGAGGCGGTTTCTGTGGCGCTTGAGGCGGTTTCTGCGGCACCTGAGGCGGTTTCTGCGGCACCTGAAGCGGTTTCTGCTGCGCTTGAGGCAGCTGCTGTGACACCTGAGGCAGTTTCTGTTTCATCAGCATCAGCAGCAGCAGCAGCAGCAGCACCAGCAGCAGCAGCATCTGCTGCAGCAGCTGAGGCAGTTTCTGTGGCATCAGCACCAACAACAGCAGCAGGAGCAGGAGCAGCAGCAAAGGGGCCAGCAGCAGCAGCTGAAGCAGTTGCTGCAGCACCTGAGACAGCACCAGAGGTGGCACATGCGGTTCCTGAGGAAGTTTCTGCAGCACGTGAGTCGGCACCAGCGGCACCTGAGGTGGCGACTGCAGCACCTGAGGCAACACCTGAGGTGGCACCAGCGGCTGCGGCTCCTGAGGCGGTTTCTGTGGCTCCTGAGGCGGTTTCTGCGGCTCCTGAGGCGGTTTCTGTGGCTCCTGAGGCGGTTTCTGCGGCTCCTGAGGCGGTTTCTGCGGCTCCTGAGGCGGTTTCTGCGGCTCCTGAGGCGGTTTCTGTGGCTCCTGAGGCGGTTTCTGTGGCTCCTGAGGCGGTTTCTGTGGCTCCTGAGGCAGTTTCTGCGGCACCTGCGACGACACCTGAGGATACACCAGGGGCTCCTGAGGCAGTTGAGGTGGCACCTGAGGTGGTGACTGCATCACCTGAGACGGCAACTGAGATGGCACCTGCAGCACCTGAGGCAGTTTCCGCGGCACCTGAGGCGGTTTCTGTGGCACCTGAAGCAGTTTCTGCAGCACCTGAGGCAATTAGTGTGGCACCTGAGGCGGTTTCTGCGGCACCTGAGGCTATTCCTGCAGTACCTGAGACAGCAGCTGAGGTTACACCAGTGGCACCTGAGGCTGTTTCTGCGGCACCTGAGGCTGTTTCTACGGCACCTGAGGCTGTTTCTGTGGAACTTGAGGCTGTTTCTGTGGCACCTGAGGCGGCACCTGTTGCACCTGTGGCTACACCTGGACCTGAGACGGCACCTGAGGTGGCGCCTATAGCACCTGAGGCGGCACCTGTGGCACCTGAGGCAGTACCTACAGCACCTGAGACACCTGCACCCGAACCACCTGTATCTGAACCATCTGCACCGGAAGCACCTGTAACCAAAACACCTGTACCCGAAGCAGCTGCTACCATCCGAACCACAAACACCGAGCCTCCTGAGCTGCCCAGGCGACTGGACGACCCAACCACTGGAACAGTTGCTGCCACCCGTATCCAATCCGCATGGAGAGGACACTCCCTCCGCCTTACCAAGCCTCTTGAGGCGGCTCGGACCATAGCTGAGGTTCGGCGGTTGGCTCGGGAGATGGCGGAGAGGCTTGGTGAGGAGGGGTATGCGTTCAAAGTGGCGTCCGACCCAAAGGAGAAGCTTCGGGTGAGTGAGACGATTATGAGCTGGCTTCTTCGGCTGGATGCGCTGCTGTCGCCGAACCAGGAGGTCCGGGAGCTGCGACGGGGAGCGGTTCGGGAGCTGACGAAGCTGCAGGATCGGGTGGATTCTCTGAAGCCCACCGCTGTGGCTGCCGAACCTGTTGCTGTGCCTGCTGAACCTGGTGCAAAAATAGCTGCCGAACCTACCCAATCCGCCTCCGTGTCTTGCCAGTCCTCCACCGTTCCAACCCCTGTTGCTGCACCAGAGCAGCCGCCACAGACGAAGCAGCAGCAGGAGAAAGAGCAGCCGTCGCTGCCGCAACAGCAGCAGCATCAGCAAAAAGTACCTGCAGAGGCAGACAAAGGGAAGGAAACGGCAACCACTAAGACGACAGCGCCTGCCAAACCGCCTGCTAAAACAGGAGGCAAGTCGCAGAGCAAGCAGGGTGCTTCCCTTCCCTTCAGGAAAGGCTTTCTTCTGAGTGAACCGGCCAAAAAGACAAAGAAGACAGCAGCAGCTGCTGCCGAGAGGCCCAAGAGCCCGTCGGGAAGTAGGCAAAGTGGCAGCAGCAGTGATAGCAAAGAAGACAGGAGAAGCAGCGGAAATGGTGGTAGCAGCAGCAACGGCAGCAGTAGTGGTGAGCATTTTAAGGGGGGAGGCAGTGTGAAAACGGTTACTGCTGGGGATGTGAAGAAGGTTGACGTGCAGTTGTGTGGGCGTGGGAGCGAGGGTCCTGAGGAGGTGCGAGTTGTGTTCTGCAATAATGAGGAGAAGGGGAGGGCGAGGAAAGAGGAGAGGGAGGAGGAGAGGAGCGAGTTGGAGAGGAAGGAGGAGAGGAAGGAGAGGAAGGAGGAGAGGAAGGAGAAGGAGGAGGAGAGGAAGGAGGAGGAAAAGAAAAATGAGGAGAGGCAGGAGGAAGAGAAGGGGGAAGAGGAAGGTTATAAGGAGGGAAGGGGGAGGCGAGCTGCTCTGGAGGTGTGAGGAAGGTTGACGTGCAGTTTGGTGGGAGTGGTAGTGAGGGGCCTGAAGCTGTGAAGGTTGCGTTCTGCAGTAGTGGAGGGGGTTGCAAGGATGGCGGGTCAGGCGGGTCAGGCGGGGCAGGCGGGGCAGGAGGGGCAGGAGGGGCAGGAGGGGCAACAGGAGGGGGTAATGTTCATGGTTCAGAGGGGGTTGGTGTGAGCGAGGAGAAGTTGAGGAGTGATGAGGTGAAGAAAGGGGAGGAGGAGAAGCAGAAGAGCAAGGAGGAGAAAAGGCAGGAGAGGAAGGAAGAGAGGAAGGAGGAGAGGGTTCAGGCAGTGGGGAAAGTTGCTGAGGGGAGGAAACAGGTTGATGAAGGAAAGCAGGAGAGAAGCAAGGGGAAGGAGAGCGAAGATGGGAAGAGGAGAGAGGAGGGTACCAAGAAATGGATGCCAGAAAAGGAGTCCACGAATCTTCCTGTCTTCCTCCACTATCTGCCGCATTTGCCACCCCTTGGAACCTGCTCCCACCACACCCCACACCCCCACAGTACTCCAGCACCCATCTCCACCCCTTTCTACCTCCACCTTCCCTCAGCAACACCACTCGCCCATGAGACCTCTCCTGCTGCCCCGTTCAGTCACACTCCCTTCCAGCCGTCTCGTTATAGTCACATGGCGTCTCAGCCCAAGCGGAGTGCACCTGGAGTGTCTGAGCTTTCACCTGAGGAAATCGCTTGGCAGATGGAGGCCCTGAGGCAGGAGAATGCTCAGCTGCGCCGGCTACTGTACGAGCAGGAGCAGCGGCAGCAACAGCAGCAGAAGCAGGAGGAACAGTGGAAACAGGCAGCAGATTTGGCTGGTTTATTTGGTGGCAGAATAGTGCCTGCAGTGGAATGTGGAGTAGGAGGAGGAGTAGGAGGATCAGCAGGAGGAGCAGCTGGGGGGTTTGAGGAGAGGCTGGAGTGCTTAGAGAGGGAGATGGCGAGAATGAAGGCTTGGCGTGATGGGTATAGGAGCCTATGGGGTGGTTACTAGAGGGACATGTAGATAGTCACGGGAAGAGGAGCAGCTGGAGGGTTTGAGGAGAGGCTGAAGTGCTTAAAGAGGGAGATGGCGAGGATGAAGGCTTGGCGTGACTGTGATTGTAGTGGGAGATGGAATGGGTGTAGAAGCCGGTGGGGTGGTTACTAGAGGGTGTCAAGATAGTAGCTAGAGGTGAGGAGCCATGCTAGGGTGAAGAGGAGAAAGTGTCGAGAGAGTTTAGGCAAGGAAAGAGGGGTTTCACTATAGAGTTTGGAGTACAAATAGGAGGAAAAGGGGTAAACCACCAAACAGAATGCAATAACTACACTACTGCTAGATCTACATGCAGTTACAATAATATAATTCTGACATCCCCCCTTAACTGCATGCAGGAATAGCAAAGTGCAAATCACAACCTGCAAGTGTACTCAAAGCAGTAGCACGCAAGAGCAATGACAACCAGTGCAGTGGTGGCAGAGACAGCTGCAGCAAGCCCTGAGGCAAGAAAGAGAGAAAGAAGACAAAGTGCTGTGGCGCATCTAGTTTGCAGCTCAACAGCAAAGAAGACGAACGAGGCGTCAGGGGCTGCAGCTGTAGGTGCCACGGTAGCAGTGGGCGGCATCTGCAGATGCGTGGCTGCTTGTTCCTTCACTCTCTCTTACCCTCCCTTACCATCTCTCATTCCCCCCCCCCCCCCCCTCTCCTACAGCAACAAGTGCTGCAGGGAGGGAGAGAGTAAGAGGGAAGGGAGGGAGGACGTGCTGGCTCCTTACACCCGCCCCCCCCACATCCCCCCCCCCCCTCCTCCACGACGGGAGGAGAGTAAGGGAGGGCGGGTGGGAAGGGCGGCATCACCCGCGGCCGGCGCTGGCGGCGGCAGGTAGCGCTGGCGCTGGCGCTTGCGACTGGCGCTGGCGCTGGCGCTTGCGATTGGCTGGCGTTAGCCGCTTGCGGATGCGCTGGCGCTCGTCGCTGGCGCTTGTGCTGGTGCTGGCGCCTGCCGGCGTTGGCGACCGCATCGACGGTGAACGGGGGGCCGCGAGGCGACGAATCGGGGGCCGCGGGGTGACGGAACGGAGGGGAGGCCGCGGAACGACGGACGCGACGGGCGAAGGGCGCGACGAGACGAAGTAAAAAGTAGCGCATTTCGCGCTGCAGGAAGGGCGGGCCCATGTTACTTAAAAAAAAAAGGAAGGTTCTAGGAAAGAACCAGCTCTGAAACCATGTCAAGATAGTAGCTAGAGGTGAGGAGCCATGCTAGGGTGAAGAGGAGAAAGTGTCGAGAGAGTTTAGGCAAGGAAAGAGGGGTTTCACTATAGAGTTTGGAGTACAAATAGGAGGAAAAGGGGTAAACCACCAAACAGAATGCAATAACTACACTACTGCTAGATCTACATGCAGTTACAATAATATAATTCTGACAGGTCTGTAGATGGTTACAGTAAGGGATGAATTGTTGCTCCCTCCTGGAATTCTTTCTGCTTGCTTGTGGCTGAAGTTGGCATTGTGCCAAGGAGCTTTCCGTTATATCTTCTTTCTGTCCTTGATTTTGTCAATTGTTGTGTATTTTTTGTTATCCAAATGTCAATCGACCCTCAATCATGATTCGGATATCGTAGCTTATGCATACCAATCATAATCTTGAACACACCAAAATCGCTCCTCATTTATTTCTGCCCATTTCTGCCTGGACCTTTTTCTGCTTCACTGGAGTATTGAGTTGTTATGACTACCTAAAAGGGAGCTGCCAGGAGCAGCAAAGATGGTGTAGTGCTGCCAGGACAGGTGGTGTAGTGCTGCTGCGCCACAGATGAGAGAGAATGAGAGTGAGGCAGTGAGCAGGCAACGTCGTAGGTACCGCCAGTGGCAGCCTGAGCTCCTAAGTGCTGCCTTCCTGGTGCACAGCAGATGAGAGAGGGAGCAAGAGAGGGAAGAATTTTAGGACAACAAAAATTGGTGTGCGAGAGATGTGGGAATGAGGGGGTGAAATTGGTGTGCCTTGCTTTTCTTCCCCTAAACACTCCTCTCCCCTTGTGCTGCCAGTCCTGCCACGGCACCGCTTCCAACCTCTTCTTCCTCTCCTCCTCTTCCCTTCCTCATTCCCCTTCCCTTGTGCTGCCAGTCCTGCCTCAGCACCGATTCCAACCTCTTCTTCCTCCCCTCCTGATCACAAGGTCTAGCAGCTGGCTTGTGAAATGTATTTCAATGATTTCTATCACTAGAGAGAAATGCAACGAGAATTACCTCTATCATTACGGAGGAAACTGCACCGCTGTAACGAATGGCGAATTCCTACAGGTTGTATGTAGTTGATTATGTATTCAGCGCCCCAGAGGATTCATAACGGTACTTGATGTACCAATCTCCACGACTGATCTCACAGCCTCATTACTGACCGTTTTGAGTCGTCTCAAAATTCAGTTGTGCTGAAAATGATATGCAGACTTCCACATCTGATCTGACAGCCTCGTTACGGACTGCTTTGAGGCGTCTCAAACTCAGTTGTGCTGTACTTGATATACAGATCTCCAGGACTGATCTCACAACCTCGTTACTGACCTGGTTCCATGACAGCATTGCTGATGCCATAAAGCGATCTCCAAAGTTGTTTCATGAGATATGGCTGGATTGGATTTCACCGGCGATATAACCCAAAGATGTGTCCCTGTAGCAATCCAACGCACAGGAGGTTCGGGAAGGGGAAGAGAAATGTGGAGAAACAAGAAGCATGGATAGTGACAATATGCAGATAAGAGGTTTTTGGTTGGAGGTTTATATTGTGAGTTGCCCTGTACCTGGTTAGTAAGTTGCAATTGTTCAACTAAACTGGGTAGGGCTTCTGCAAATATGAGTTGTTAGCTCTATTGTACTCACGTTATGACAGATTGTCACTCTGGCAATAATACACTCCAATATATCACATACGTTACTATCCAGCACAGGCTGAGCATCCCATATCTGTAAGCCATGTATGGGGAGGAGATAGGGGGGAAGGGGAGAAAAGGGGGAAAATGGGGAGACGGGGTTGGGTAAAGCCCATACGTCAAGGAATTCTAATACAGTGCGCTTTGGATAAGACTGCTTTAGGGATCATAAATGCTCAATATGAATTCGGAAGTGTATGCTTTTTTAACACAATGTTTTCTACCGTAGATACCTGAGCCACGCAGAAGGGACAGATGTCGCCCTCCAGAGGCTCTGAGCAGCTTTCCAACACGGAGCACACACTGATGGCCGGGGGGATGTTTACAGGGGGGGTAGAGGGGGCATGTTGGCAGGCGGGGGAAAAGGCGGGCATGGGGCATTCAGAAGGGGCAGATATCGCCCTCCAGAGGCTCTGAGGTGTTTTCCAGCACGGAACGCACACTGGTTATTGGGGGAATGGTGGCAAAGGGACAGGCAGGTATATCGGCAGGGGGGCAGGGGGCAGTAAGCATTTGAGGTGACTCAGAAGGGGCAGGTATCGCCCTCCAGAGGCTCTGAGCTGTTTTCCAGCACTGGACGCACACTAATCACCGGGAGAATATTGGCAGGGGGAGGAGAGGGGCATATTGGCAGGGGGAAGGGGGGACATGTTGGCAGGGGGAGGAGAGGGGCATATTGGCAGGGGGAAGGGGGGACATGTTGGCAGGGGGAGGAGAGGGGCATATTGGCAGGGGGAAGGGGGGACATGTTGGCAGGGGGAGGAGAGGGGCATATTGGCAGGGGGAAGGGGGGACATGTTGGCAGGGGGAGGAGAGGGGCATATTGGCAGGGGGAAGGGGGGACATGTTGGCAGGGGGAGAGGCGGGCATGGGGCACTCAGAAGGGGCAGATGTTGCACTCCAGAGGCTCTGAGCTGTTTTCCAAGACTGAGCGCTCACTGGTGCCTCCGGGAGCATGTTGGCAGAAGGGGAAGCGAGGGAAGGGGAGGGGCATGTTGGCAGGGGAACAGGCGGGCATGGGGCATTCAGAAGGGGCATGTATCGCCCTGCAGAGGCTCTGAGCTTTTTTCCAACA